ATGCGCAGCTAACGACAAATTTGAAAGGCAGTAGTTGTAGTCCTGAATGTTGTATTCATTTTGGTGAGTAATTCCAAATTGAACCGATACAAGTTTTGAAAGGCAGTAGTTATAATACTGAATGCCAAGGATGGTTTTGAAGATCAGCAGTTTTCCACTAACTTTTTCAGTTAACCACGGTTTTCAGTTAGGTTTTGTTTTTATAAGAATGAATAAATCACTGAATCACAACATGCTTTAATGTTATTGAACTACTTGCTCCACTGAGTTACAACAAAAGTAGATCTGCGGCGGCTCAGCGGACTGCTGGTTTCTATTTACTATCAAGCGACTTGACCTTGAACTGGAACGCACCATCTTCATTTCGAACTTCTTTTCAGTGAGCAAGTAAATCGACTGACGAAAAATTTACCTGTCACGCCTATTGAACTAAACAGCAAAAATTATCGACAATGACCAGTGAGGAATTTCAATGATGTGAAGTGATGCGAATAGCGACAAACCTGGAAATCAAGTCTGGGATCGTTCCATATTTGGCTGAACCAAACGTCTGCTTTGAAGCTACTCGAGAATTCACTGATTTCAGTAATACTCTGGACCGTTAATTCAACAATTACTGTTGTTGCATTTGCTGATGGTAATGTATCTTTGTCGTATTTTGGTTGGGAAAATAATCCCTGAAACTACTCATCCCAATTTCAGTTCTCTTCTTTGCTGATTTTTTAACAGCAATTATTCTAATTTAGCCATACATAAACTAGCACAGCAACAGTATGATGTATTTGGGGTATGCGATGTTTCATTTCATTTGATTTTGTTTAGCCATTTGATTTCTCATCATTTAATTTCAGCAACAACCTCAGATGAAATTCAATTTGATCTTTCGGTTTCATAATAATACTCTTGTAGGAGAGAAGTGATATTGAATTAGAATTTTTTAGCTGTATATGGCAGTTCAGCTCAATTTTACTCATATCAGCAATACTCGAATTAGATGTCATTTGCACGTTTTCCAATTGAAGCTTCTTGTCGGTAATGTGAATTACGACAATGCTTTTTGCACTACGACGAGTCGCATGTAATTATTTTCAGAGATACAATTTATGCGTTTTATTTCTCTTCCCCGCTAACGTTCACATGTCATTTGGTCGAAAGGACCTACTATAAATAGTATTGATGTTCAATGGAAACTGATTCCAACAATATCACTTGTAGTCGTCATTTTGCACTATTATAGCAGTAGGTATCAGCTATCAACGTCACAGCGGCTATCGGGTCATTATTTCACTCACGATAAGTAAAATATGTGAATAATGGCAGCCGAATGAATAGCTGCTTCGTTAGGAACCCATTTTTGCAATTCAAACATTCGATTGAACATAATCCATTTAGATGATTCCTTACTTTGGTAGTAACAAATTAACACTTTCGGAATCAGCTATCTGGGCATTGGTTGGTATCGAAACTCAACCTTTTCTTCAAATTTCGAACTTCAAATTTTCTTTTCATTCCTCGAATTTCTCCGACAACCACATCGAAATTCGGCAAAGATTTTGAACCGCCGCGGAATCGAACGCGAATCTACTTACTTATCTTAAGATATCACCACTTCTATTTATGTCGGTTGTTTGCATTCGATGTGACGGTTGGTTATTATCATTTGTATATGCTTAACAACAGGAGCTGCGAATGCACTTTTGCAAAAGATATATGACATCATCAGGATTGCTATTATTCAACTGAATTCTATAATGCAAGTGCAGAGTCTCGATATACTTTGACTAGGCACGTTGAAATAAATCAATAATGGCAAATTTAAGAGTTTATAAGTTTAAAAGTTTATCTGTGAAACTAATCCCACTGTATTCAATAAAAATATGAAGATTTACATCGGATGCGCGAATATATTTGTGACTACCCCATTGAGGAAATAAGCGCTCACAGGAACAATGAGCTTATTATAAATTCACGTGTTCATGTAGGTTATTTTCATGCCCATCTTACTATTATCTTTACTCAGTTTCCCTCTCTGAGGACATCAAATCTGTTTGGACAAAACTTTTGGTTTGCTTTGAGTGGATCCTTAAGAAACATCAAACTCCACTGCTAAAAAAAACGCCTATCTATTTTCATCTTCGAATTCGCATCAAATTTGTTGCTCAAAACGTTTTCGACCGTCACTCAATACCAGATAATTATACTGAAAAGTTAAACTCGGTGGAATACGAAATTACTGCTCAAAAATCCGTATCTACTTGAAAGATGGGTGTCCCGACAGGAAGTAGATAGAACTGCTGATAACAAAACGACGACGATACAAAGACGACTGAATTAATTCCTCAAAAATACCTGGATGAGATTCTTCCTGAGAGTTTCGTTAATAGGCACACAAGGTTGTGGATGAGTTGATGAGTACTGTTGAGATGTTCGCTGGGGTATTTTATAATGATATGGCGATTCTAAGGATTTATAACCTGCAAGAACAGCATTATTCAAGTGTTAGACTATGTTTGGTCAAAATAATAGTTCCGATTCAATGAAGCGGTTGACATCGGTTGATCGTTATCCTCATAGAGTCTCACTCAGGAAATGTTCAATAATCAGGTTGTATCGTTAACAACTTCAATCACTTGAAGTTTTAAATAAAAATGAAAATTAGAAAACAATTTTCTCATTACGAGGAAAAATCCGGCTTATAAAAGACGTTTCTCCACTGCCGCTCAACATTGGATGATTTCAAAATTTTCAAAATTCCTGGAAATATTGACCCAACTCTGTATACAGCTCATCGTTTTTGCAAATTCTACTCCAACTTTGTATCTTCCTGCTCCGGTACTAGTTTCAGGGCCACAATTTCTAAAACTTTGGTTCTAGCTCTGTAATTTACTTTACTCCGCTTCAGCTTTGGCATCGCAGCAATTCGGAATCGGAAAAACTGTCGCGCCGATCTTAACTCCGGCTACTGAATGTTGCTGTGGTATTTTTTAAGGAGGCAAAAATAGTTTTTTTTTGTATCTGGAGATTGGTCATCACTGTTGATCTATAACTCTAGTTTGTTGCAGCTTATTATTTTCACACAGCCAAACTTTCTTCATAATAAATTTTGCAAAAAGGAATTGGAAAAGCCATTTAAAAATTATTAAATTTCGCGGTTCTCAAAAAAATTTTCAGTACGAATTGTTCGAGGAACCCAAATGAGGATTATGGAATTTGGATTTCATTAGGGCAAGCGATGAATTCCGAATCTATTATACACGATTTTCTGACCGAAAACTGTGACATGCATACCCATTCCACATCCATTGTTAAGTATGTCGAGCAGCTGTTAAGCCATAAACAAATTTTGGGCAAACGATTTTCCTATTTTTGCCTTTCAAATTTTATAATTGCTCCAGAGCAGCTTCGTTTGTCTGGTAGGTGATATCAGAGGTGATCGATAATCGGAGAATAATAATCAAGATCCTAACCGTACTGTTGCTCTTGTTGTTGTCGTTGTTGCTGCTGCTGCTCATCAACAATTTCAGCAAGTTTGTTCGCTTGCGCGGTGGTAAGTTCGGGTAGTAGTAGGACGAGCCTTGTGAGGTAGGATACAATCATAGCAATATGGCTTACTCTTGTGTGACACAAAGTATCACCAAACGTTGTCACCGTTGTATTGTTGGTCAGCATAAGAAAGCAGTTAAGGATTTTTGTTGACTGCTTTATACCGTTCCTTATCGAAGTTAAGTTGATGTCATTTGCTGCGTTATGAATTATTCGATAATATACCAAAATAATAATTTGTATTCATCTTTGCAGCGTTCAATCTATACATCCTGAAATATTTTTGTGATCAATTGTTTGCCTTGGATGTGATGCAATTGTTGTTCTCGTGGCATTCTATTCTACAGTAGAGCATTACTTCGAAAAACAATTGCGCTAAGCTGTTATCAAAACTACTATAATTAGCACTGACGTGGATCAATCGAATTCGAAAGCTATC